ATAAATATATGTATGAATATCCAGCTGGTCAGAACTCATTGATTTGTACAAAAAAAAAAACACCTGCAAAATGCAAAAGACTTAGTTTAAGCCACTGTTTTAGTCATTTAAATTAGTTAAATATTTTAAATTTCCATAACTATAAAATTCACAATTTCCTCAGCTTTATCTAAGACTCAGTTCTGATCCAGCTGGTCAGAACTCATTGATATGTATGAAAAAACACCTGTAAAATGCAAAATACTTAGTTTAAGCCACTGTTTTGGTCATTTAAATTAGTTATCTATTTTAAATTTTCATAACTATAAAATTCAAAATGTCCTCAGCTTTATTTTGAACCATAGTTTGTAAAAATCYAGCACGAAATAATGAAGTTATGAGTTTTTCATCAGGAAGACACCTCACAGTCCACTGACCTCCAGTCATTGTGTTGAAGCTCCTCAGTGCAGAACAGAGCTCCAGGGTGTGCACGTGATGTAGCAACACACTAGCCACGCCCACTCCAGTCATATATATCAATGATAAAAAGAACAGGTGTGGCTTTCTATGTTTAATATGTTGTTTATGAGTTTACTTCAGTTTTATGACTTGTGTGTTTTTATCTGGTCCTTTATTCAGGGTTCTTTAGCTTTGTGTTAAACTGTTGTGTTTCCTGTTTTATTTTGTAGTACCCTGTAGCTTTTAACTTCCTGTCCTTTGGTCTTCAGATCCTGTCTTCATGTCTACATTCCTGTCAGTTTTGTAGTTTTTGCCAGACTTTGGTTTAAACCTGAAGCTGCCGTCCTGCTCACAGCTCAGAGGTTTTACTGGAACCTTCTGATTTGTTGAATCATATTTGTTGTTTAAATGTTGGATGATGATGATGATGATGATGATGAWGATGAAAAGTGGCACCCTGACCTGAAGAAAGCTCCAAACAATCCTCTGAACAATAATTGTTCTTGATAAAAGCCAAGCATCTGGACAGAAATGAGCACAGATCTGCAGGCAGCTGCTGGAGTTTAGCACAGAGAAAATAAGAATAACAGTCAGATTAATGTGATTTTCTGTCATTTACAGCTCTTAGTCACCGTGAAAAGAACAGCAGTTCAAATGTGGACTGATGCTGTAAAAATGTCTTCAGTGTTTTGTTGAAACCTGGCTCTTCAGAGACTGTCAGCTAAAAGCCTGACATGTAAATGTAAAATCGTGTCCTTCTGGCCCCTCGCTTTGGAGATCCAACATGTGATTTTTAAAATACCTTCCTTCCACCCATGTCTCATTAGGGCTAAATAAAGACGAAGAGTCCCGGTGCTCCCCTCTGATTCCTGCCACTTTCAATCCAGACAATTAATATGCCATTAACGGCCCACTCTAATCACCTCGTAATGTGGAGGGAACTTTCCAACCTGTCAGACGGCAGCCGAGCGGCTTAAATATCACCTCCACCTGCCGTGTTCGGAGCGCTGCATGCGATGAGGTGGTGCAACCCGGCTCAGCCGTCAATCACGGCTATAAATGAATCATAATTATTGTAATTTGGTGGAGAGAACATTCTGCCGGCGTGAGAGCGACCCAAACTCCAGCTGAAACTTGTTGGCTAATTGTTGATTGAGTGTCGGCTGTAATGATGGCAGGTGGTGAGATAATACCTTTACAGACTGACAAACAACACAAACGTCCCCCTACCACCGGCGCACAGCCAGAAGCTAATTACCTGCTAATGATAGCCCTGATGTTTTGGACCTCCCAGGCCACTGTACCACTAATGTCATTACACCTCCTACATCCTCCACGGGATCCATCTTCCTCCCACTGAACTTTGATTTCTGCTTCCTTTTTCCACATTTACTTCCTTCTCTCAGTCACATTTACCTGCTTTCTGACCCGAAGTACTCTGCTACTGAATACATGAAGCTTTTATTGTGAAAGGGAAGCAAAGAGGAACTGACTATAATAACAGAGAAGAAGAAAATCTCAAGCTCTATTTTGGTAGAAATGACTTTTAGACACAAAACACATCACCTCTTTAAAGACTCTAGTCAATCCAATCACCTCACCTGGTTCTGATATTTAATCACCACACCTGGATCTAATTTCTAATCATCACACCTGGTTTGTTTTTCTCAGTATTTTCTCTGTATTCAAGCTTCCGGTTTCAGTTTTTTCTTCTGGTTATAGTGAACATTGTGGTTGTTATAGTGAACATTCTGGTTGTTATAGTGAACATTCTGGTTGTTTTAGTGAACATTCTGGTTGTTTTAGTGAACATTCTGGTTGTTATAGTGAACATTGTGGTTGTTATAGTGAACATTCTGGTTGTTTTAGTGAACATTCTGGTTGTTTTAGTGAACATTCTGGTTGTTATAGTGAACATTCTGGTTGTTATAGTGAACATTCTGGTTGTTATAGTGAACATTCTGGTTGTTATAGTGAACATTCTGGTTGTTATAGTGAACATTCTGGTTGTTTTAGTGAACATTCTGGTTGTTATAGTGAACATTCTGGTTATAGTGAACATTCTGGTTGTTTTAGTGAACATTCTGGTTGTTTTAGTGAACATTCTGGTTGTTTTAGTGAACATTCTGGTTGTTTTAGTGAACATTCTGGTTGTTTTAGTGAACATTCTGGTTGTTTTAG